CATCACGGCACGCTATTACAATTACGCCATTTTCAAAAGGGATTTTAAAGTATACCGAGTTGCTGTAGGGCTTAGGGGTGCTAGAAACATGATGCATAATTTAATTTCGTACAAATTTATAAAATACTAGCCGACCCGACAGACTTCGTCCTGTCAAAAAAAATTGTAATGTGGCGATGTTTTGTTCCTACCTTTTTTCTATTCTTTGCAAAAAATTATCCTGGACAGAACCGTCACCCTGCTAATGATTCGGTGTGAATTAAAAAAAATTAAATAAAATACTATAAGCATTCAAAAGTAAGTAATTTTAATCATGTAAATCATAATTCAAAAATCAGCTCAATTTTCATTGTAGTGCTTTGTGATAAACGATGTTTTTTGTTTGATTATCTGGCGCATAGACAAACATATCTGATGGTTTTCCAATACGGGAACAGACAACATACAATTTTCCACGTGAAAAACATGGGTTTTCCAAATTAATACCACAAACACTTAACGATACCATAAACGCACTGGAAACTGTAGTTGTTTAATCTCAAATGGCACATCAGTCGGAATCATTGGGATGCACGGTGCGAGAACATCTTCTGCTTTATACTATATCCTTTCAATATAGTTGCTTCCATGGTAGTTTTTTTAAGTTTTCAGTTAAAGGCGCGGTTGGTCGATATTTCGCAATATTATAATTGCCGATCCAACCTTTAATTGAAGATTGTGAGGTGACAATCCTAGCAAATCCAGCGAGTTTAAAAACTCCGGTGTATCATCTTGGTTAGTTGCCGAATCAACTGATTCGCCTATAATTTGTTCTTGAATTTTGAAATTTTATTCATTTACATCAATGTTTTTGCCTGCCAATATAGCTCGTTAATTAATAGAAAGATATTTATATGTTTATATAAATATATCAAAAATTAGATTATCAAAAACTACACAAAATGCCATGACATAGATCATTGTTTTTTCTACAAATTTCGTTGCCTACTCGATTAAAAAAGAAAAGGGCTGTTCTTAGGGTTTTCGCGGCAATTATTCGACTTTTTCTCACCGTAAGAACCATCCTTGGACTTTAACGAACATTTTAAACAAAGAATTGGCCAAATTGGTCCAGGCGTTGTTGAGTTATGCGCTTACCAACACATTTTGCGATCCATTTTTATATATAAGATTTCATTTATCTTAGACAAACGGTTTCAAAGTTACAGAAGATAAAATACATAAACTGTCGTACTCAACACGGAACGATCTTGGAAAAAAAAATTGAAATACTAGGCAAGGGTTGAATTGTCAGTTTTTTACCTCTCCATTAAGGAAGCAGTACAGTAGGGCTACTAAGAATCCTTGGAATGAGGTCAGCACGTGTGTGATGTAGGACCAGAGGGCGAATTCTAGTACGGAACCTTCCAAAGGGGCGTCTACCATGTTTAGGAAGTTTGTTATGCCTAAAAGGGGTAGGAGGACGACTGCTGCTCTTACAGCTTTCCTAAAAAAAATCAAAAGCCAGGAACGTAAATTTAGATATAGCTAGAAATGTAATTGAATTAGGTACTGGATTGATTGATAGGGCTAGGACAAACAACAATATAAATTATTGATTAGAAAATTAAGGTACAGGTGACAAAAACATGGAAATAGAATTTTGGAAAGTAAAGAGTGAGCAAGGGAATTTAGGTAAATTAAATGTGGTGATGTTCTTATTACCTGACTTGTTGAATGTCACTAGTATTACTCTGTCTCAATTTGACGACCAAAACCCGGACGATGTTCAACAAAAATACAAAATTTAGCTAAAACAATGAAACATCAATTAATTGTTTATTATTTGTTATCATTATTTCGATTACTTACAATAATAACTGCCAATCTTGGACCTTCCAAAATCCAATAATAGGGCGACAGATTGTAACCGTACCAGCAACTATAAAAAATAGAATAAAAATATTTTTAATATGCAATTTGTTTAATATGAATTTGGGAAAATTGAATATCGTTTTATAAATTAATTTAATGACCTAGAAGTATATTATAATTAATTTAGTATTGAGAAAAAGTTGATGACATAAATAAAATGCTACTTTAAAAAAATATTAGCACTATGGTTGCTCATTCTACTCCACGCTTCAATACGAACTGATTTCTTAACTTCCCGTAGGGTAGTTATAGTAATGGGCCGAAAATCGGAATTGAAAATTTTTACATTTCTCGACGTTTTGAAGGTTTCTGAACATTTTGGCATACCTCAGGATAAATTGGTGTGTGTGTGTGTGCGTGAGTATGTTTTGTATGTCCGCATTTTCGGTCGCATGGATCAACCCATTTGAATGGTTCAAAAAACATTCGATTTCTATTAATAGGGAGATGTGCTAATTAGTTTTTGGCAAAGGCAGGTCCAGCCATTACGGAGATACGGAGCAAAGAGTGCAGAAAATACAAATCGAGTTTTTGAGAGAACGGAGCATCCGATTTGAATGATCTAAAAAACATTCAATTATCAATGATTGGGAGAAGTGTTTATTAGTTTTTCGCATAGGCAGGCCCAGCCATTTCGAAGATACGAAGCTAAATGTATAAAAAATGGCAGTTTTTGAGAGAACTAAGCGTCCGATTTAATTGATTCAAAGAACTTTTTGCTTGTCTTAACAAAATAATTGATTTTGGGAAAAAAATTGTTTCAACTTTTTTTTTTAATTTTTTGTATATCGAAAATAATTCAGATTTAATTTTAATTCTTTCTATAGTTCTAATATACTTTACAAATAATTTCAACTTTACAATTCAGTTTATATAATTCTTATAAATATTAGACAATGTTACAATATTTATAATAATCTATTTGAAAACATTCAGTATTCCTCGAACATTTCGTTACGGTACGGGAAATTCCAGCAATTTGCCTTAAGGCACGATGCCACCCACCCCACTATTTTAGTATAAATAAAGTTGATTGATAATCAAATTTACCTAAAGAACTTTCACCTTTCGATTCCGATTGTTTTGAACTTTTTGTCCTTATAATATAAGACTAAACTAGAGGTGCATGGCGTGCCTTAAGGCAAATTGCTAGAACTTTTCGTACCGATATTTAATATTTTTAACAGAGAAATTTTACTTTTTTTATTGGACCTGCCAAAAATTAAATCACTTTTTCCTTCAGTAAATAAATGTAAATGTTTTCTGAATCATTTAAACCAGTGCTCCGTTGACTCAAAAACTAAATCGACATTTCTTGCACTTTTGCCCTGCCTTTGCCAAAAAAACTAACCAGCAAACTAAATATTGTATTGAAGAAAGAATATTATAAATTAAATCTATATAACATTCGCAATTCTTATACGATAACCCCTAATATCATAAATTT